TTTTTTTAAATATGCAAATCCTTTATTTCTTCCTAAATATCCAGTTCCTGCCCATATCCACACTGTTGAAAACATTTATCAGAAATCACCAACTTTGAATTATACCAAATGCCAGCAATGAACCCTCCTTTTGAGCTAAAAAAGAACACTGCCCAAGAGATTGTTTTAATTGGTGACTAAGAGTAAACAGCTCCCTGTGGCTCCCCACAACATAGACACACACAAAGATAAAATACGAAAACTTTCCCTGGTCATGTCTTCCCATGTGAAGTCTGTTAAGGTTCCAACGCAGTGGAGCTAAATTATGCACATGAGAATCACCTGGGAAGCTTTAAAAAAAAAAAGCTCCACCCCAGGTTACATCTTAGATCAACTAACTACACTATAGAATTTTGGGGAGAGGAGGGGCAACCCCAGCATCAGTATCTTTCAAACCCTGCAGATGTGCAGACAAGACTGAGAATCAATGCCCCAGCAATACCAAAGTACCTGGCCGACTTTTGTCCCAAAGGTCAACACACTCTGGTTGCGAGTGCACACACACCCAGCAGGGGCAGCTCCTACCTATGTAAAGCGAGGAGTCCTTCCTCCGCACGTGGTCGTCGATGTAGGAGACCCCCAGGGGCTGCACGGGGGTAGCACCGATGCCCAGGAGCACCTGGGCCCCAATGAGCAGCAAGTACATCATGTTGGTGGCCGTCCTGTTGCGGCAGATGAGGTCAGGGTCGGGCCCCTCGTCGCCACCTGAGCCGTTGGCAGCGCAGACGTCCCGGCCCTCAGCGCCCCAGCGGATCTCGCCAGCCTCGTACTTGTACTGGTGGGTCAGGAACTCTGGCAGTGCCGAGAGCAGTGCGCCCAGCGCCATGACGATACCACCGCAGCCGATGAGGCGAGGGCGGTGTCCGCGTGCCCCGAAGTAGCTCACGAAGAGGATGAGCGCCAGGTTTCCAATCTCGAAGCTGCTGGCGATCACACCCACGTCTGCGCTCTGCAGGTTGAACCTGCGCTCCAGGGTGGTCAGGACGCTCACCTGGGAGAGGTGAAAGGACATTTCAAAGCCCATCCAAACAGTCATCGAGGGGGCATCCACTCTGCCCTTCCTGGACCCTCCCACCCACCTGACATTGGTACCGTTGCAAAAAGGCAGATGGAAACCCAAAGAACCAGAAAAAAATTATTTACTAAGTATGATAACCCCAGTTCAGTGGTTAAAAATTCACTTTCATAATAGCAAGGCCGTTTTCTGGGCGCCTGTTTGCACCTTGAGAGGTTCTCTAATTTCCCTATCCCAGGTGCTTCCACCACTTAGAGCCCATGAAGTTCGAAAGAAGCCCTAAAGTCCACAGTATGCATCTTTAAAAGGAGCAAAGTTATAAAACACTTGACAAGAGATTCCCTATGCATGTAACCTATGCAAATGCATGCTATACAGTTCATGCTGGGAGACAATAGAAGTACAGGCTCTTTCAGGAGGTCTTTGCAAAGCCTAAGCAAAATAAACAAAAACCTAAATGGCAAATAGACAAGCTAGATTATCTCAGGATAATTATTAGTTCTGCTTTCTTCTGGGAATTTCCACATGATGTACATTTCTCTAAAGGCCATCAGGTAAACACACTCCTGACTATTCTAAACACTACAGCCCTACCAAGGACCTTCAGATGCAGTATTTTTATGGTTTTCCCACCTTTGTATTCTTGTCTGCTCTACATTTAACAAATATTTACTGAACATTTGCTGTTTGCCTGGCAATGCCCTAGACACAAAGGCTGGGGAAAATGAGAAAGAGGCACCTGGCTTTGAAAGGCCACCTAACAGGAAGGTATACGTGTGCCCAAATTGACTGGAGGCTCCATTCCTGAAGCAAACCTCACACTGGGGTACCAAGCAGAGAAACCTTTTTATGGGGTTTCTTAAGGGACAAGGAAGATGAGCAAGCATCCCTCTCCTTTGCAAGTTCCATGAAGGATATTACAGGAAATTGAAGCATCCTTGCTGTGGGAGATGGCCTTGATCAAGGCCCTCATGGGCAGGGAAGAGCACTTTAGGCACAAGAAAGGGCATGAGCCAAAGCCAGCAGCAGCAGTTCAGAATGGAGAATCATTGGAACGGGGGTTGCGAGCAACCGCCATGAGGAACTCAAGCTATCCCGAGCCATGTGCTAGAAAGAATGCACATCATGGACAGAGAAAAACCTGGTGAACCTCTGCTATTTCCTTAATAAGCTCTGTGGCCTCAGTCACATTACTTAATCTCCCCCAGCCCCGATTCTGTAAAATAGGAATCATGGCATCCACCTGGCGAGACAGGTGTGACAATTAGAAATAATGTATGCGAACTCTGTTGGTTCCATTGGTTGCAGGAGCATATAGAGAGACAGCAAAGCACAATGGAGATAGCAGGCCAAGTCAGGGCTCTGGCTGGACCTCCTGGATACATCCTGACTCTGGGTGATTTTTTTTT